CAATACGGTCACCACTGTTCAGATCGATTGAAATTTACTTCAAGTAGGTGTTTCGGTTACACCGAGTTTTATTGTTTTAGTTGTTGTAATTTTTTGGCGTGCGCTCGCACCACAACACATTGTTACATGTTTTGCTTTCTGTGTATACTTTTCTTCTTTTTTCTCTCACCCACAATGACAAACAGAGAGCTGAGTCCAATGTAAATTGATACTCGCTGGGGATGACAAATGTCGAAATGCATCCGAACCAAAATTTCGTATATAAATAAACATTCATATTGATTTATGTTTGAAATTTGAAAAAGCAAAGTCACTTTAAGGTGTTTTATTTAATTTTTAATCGCAGATTGAAAAAATCTTTCCCTTAACAAAGTGTACGGAAAAGTAAAATATTCAACATTACCATTGTTGGTAGCATATTGAATCTATTCCAATTGTTCTTCAATATTAATTTGGTTTCCTTTACCGACAAAAAGTCTAGCGACATCATTGTGATCTGAAAAATAAAACAGATCAATGAAAAGGATCAAAGCGGTATTTAATTTAGTCAGCAGTACCATGGTTAACAGCCAACTGACGAGGTGTTTCACTCGCATCATTTCTAATATAAACTTTGGCTCCTTTTTTGATGAGAAGTTTAGCAACATTCTTGTGACCTTAGAAATAATTTAGATCGATGAAAAAGATCAAACCGATTCTTCATTTTGTGAAAATAACTATTCAATATTACCATTCTCAGCAGCATAATGAAGAGGTGTATTATTAAAATTATTCATGACATCCATATTGGCGCCTTTGTTGAGGAGAACCTCGGCGACATTTTTGTGACCTGGAAAAAAATCGTATCGATGAAAGAGATCAAATCAATCGTTTCTTTAATAAGAACAAGCATTCAACATTACCACCGGAAGCAGCTAAATGAAGAGGTGTTTCATTCGCATGATTTCTAATATCAACTCCGGCTCCTTTTTTTATGAGGAGTTCAGCAACATTCTTTTGACCTTAGAAATGATTTGGATCGATGAAAAAGATCAAACCGATTCTTTATTTTGTGAAAATAACTATTCAACATTACCATGCAAAGCAGCATAATGAAGAGGTGTATTATTAAAATTATTCATGACATCCATATTGGCGCCTTTGTTGAGGAGAAACTCGGCGACATTTTTGTAACCTGGAAAAAAATCGGACCGATGAAAGAGATCAAATCAATCGTTTCTTTAATAAGAACAAGCATTCAACATTACCACCGGATGCAGCTAAATGAAGAGGTGTGGTATTCGAATTATCTCCAATATCAAAGTTAGCTCCATTCTTGAGAAGCACATCAGCGACACCTCCGTGACCTAAATAATACGGATCAATGAAAGAGATCGGTGGAATATCTTATTTGGTCAACCTTACCATTCATAGCTGCCAAATAAAGAGGTGTCCGATGCATATCATTTTTAACATTAAGATCGTTTGCTTTACGGCTGAGAACTTCAGTGACGCTCTTGTGACCTGAAAAATAACCCAGATCGATGAAAAAATTCAACCAATTTCCCATTTAGTGAAAAACAGTCAAGGCTGCATTGACGAAGTGTAGTAGACATCACACACAACTCTGAAACCCGTGTATGCTAGTCGGTTTTGTGAGTTGGTTGCGATAGTTGTGTGCGCGGCAGTTGCATCGCGATATGCTTGTCTATTGGCAGAAGCATATTCAGTGCTTGCTGCTAAGCAATACTAATGCGCATAGTACACGAAAAGAGCAATCAACATTACCACTCTCAGCAGCATAATGAAGAGGTGTCTCATTAAAACTAGTTTCACTATCAACATTGGCTCCCTTGAGGATGAGAAGTTCGGCGACACTCTTGTGACCTGAAAAATAACACCGATCGATGGGATAAAATCAGGTCAATCTTTTATTCAATAACAATAAGTATTCAACGTTACCTTTCTCAGCAGCATAATGCAGAGCGGTCTCATTAAAATTATTTCCAATATTAGGGTCGGCTCCATCAGCGATGAGTCTTTGAGCTTCCTTCACTTTGCCTGAAAGAATATGAAAAATGTTCATAGATCAATGAAACGGATTGAACAAAACATTCTTTTTTATAAAAAAATGTCCAAAATTACCATCAAAAGCAGCTCTATGCAGAGCTGTGTCTCCCCTCATGTCTTTTTCGTTTACTAAAATATGTATGAAAAGTTTAGCATAAATGAGGTTCCCATATCTTCGTTACAACGTGCTTTGTATATGGAATTTAAGAGTTAAACTCGATAAATAAATGAAACTTTAATCTTACCGTTTCTCCCGGGTGGTGCTCCGCTCACATCCCCGATTAAGAACTGTGGAAATAGAATCAAGGTGATACATTTGGAATGGGAACAACGGATGAGATTAATACATTATGTATTAATAACAGTTTTCAACTGTTTTTAATAGAATAAAAGTTTCCGGTTGACATTTTTTTGGAATAGAAGAATTTTTTCAATTGAAGAACTTGAAAAAAGGCAAACTGTGCTTTTGACCGGCGCAAGATAGCGGTGGCGCCTATTCGCAATTTGCGGAATTTTTAAGAACTATCAATACTTGTTGTTGTTGTCATGAATTTCGCAACAACAAGAAGTATTAATAGTTCATTAAGTTGCCGCAGATCCTATTTAGGCGCTACCGCTATTCACTGTCACGTCAAATACATTGGTTCTTATGGGAGAGAAGCACAGGTTGAAAAAAGGACACCTTTCATTTTATAAATTATTTCAGAAAAAATTATCACAAATTGTCCACGAAAAGTATCAAACATGGAAAATTTAAAAAAAATCGACTGAAATTGTCGACTCACCTCGGATACCATCAAGCCAATGAGCAGCAGTGTGAAAGAACTTCGACTCAGCATTTTTCTAGCTTCGAACTATTAAAAGTTTACTATGAACGTATCAATTGGTAAGAACTGTTTGATGGACATGCGAATCGAACGTATCCTCTTATATACTTTTCAAGTGAGGCCACGTCGGTGGGCAACGCACTGTATGATTCAATCCACGTACAATGACGATTCTAATTGAACCCCACAAAATATTATCGCACACATTTTTCAAGATAACAATGTCAAACAATTGATGGAATTACAATTCCACCTGTGCACGTGTGTTTAATTTCGCGTTTCACATCAAAGGCGTTTTGCATTGAAAATATCAGATGTTAACATTTATTCTTTCATCACCTTTTTGAAACTACAAATTCAATGGAAAAATTTAAAAAGTAAATATTTTTCACTCTTGGAGGGTTGAGTGGTGTTACTATGGCACGTGGCTGTTCAAATTTAAAAATTTGCACATCTTCGCTGCATGCACAAAACACATTCCGTTTCAAAGTCGATCCAAAGTTGACCACAGATCAACCGCCGCTTACATGATGTAAATTAGAATGTGAATGATCAAACGACAT